AGCTCTTTGCGAACCGTCAAACCTACGGATATACAGAAATGAGGAAATAAATGAAGGAAATTGAGGGTTCCGTCGATTGGATCGATGAACCATGTCGGTGCATCAGTCAATTCTGGCATTTCCCCCGTCCCAGTTGTTTCTTCCGCGATAATCCTGAAATGTAAGATATTTGAACATCCTTATATTAGTAGAATATAATGTGATCTTAGGATTATTTAATATTATAGGATTAATTATTAAGTTAAATTGAAGTCTGGTTATCTACTGATTTCCAGGTAGTCTGTTTTTATACGATTACAACTCACTTATGATCAGGAAACTCCCTGGATAGGCCATCAATAAGTATTTTCTCAATTTTTTGATCATGCTCTGTTACGAAATGCATATATGTTTTGTCATATCCAACTTTTTCGTCCCCGAAACTACACTTGAGTCTCTATGCACATAAATAATATGAAATAAATAAATACATAATTACATATATGTATCATACAAAAAAAGGAAGAAAAGTTATATTTAAAAAGGTTATGATTATTAATGATTAATATAAATATATATCTTGCTAAAAATTTAGGAAGAGTGAAGCTTTAACTTGTGCATTGATTTTTTAAAATCATTTTTAGGAGATTTATATAAGATATTAAATTTATTCTGCTTTAAGGATTTTGAAAGATATTACCATCAATAATATATTTTACATAGGTTCAAGAATAATTTAAGATTAATTTAAGATTTTTAGATGTTGCGTGTGTTATAGATGTGCCGTGTAAGAATTATTTTGGATTAATTCAGATTTAGATTAAAGTTTTTAGTTTAAATGTTTTTAGTTTAAACCTTAATCTAAATCTGAATTAATTTAAAATAATTCTTACACGGCACATCTGTAACACGCAACATCTAAAAATCTTGAATTGATTTTAAATTATTCCTGAACTTATGAAAAATATATTATAAATATATACCCACAGCTGCAACTTCGTCATTCAATTTTATCTCCAGAATTGTGCAATCCTTCCGCTTATCTTTATACATCAGCTGTGACTCACCTTACCAGCTTGCAACGTGAGTTCTTTCGCGAATTCGAAGCACTTCGCAATGTCCAGATCACTCGACATGATGATAGCCGTCGTCGTTGAGAATCGTGCCGGTACGACTGATCGATTCACCGTCGACTAACCGCTATAAATGAGGATTGGTGGTTAACTGCCCTTATCTCTGCAATTAGTGATATCTGACGCAAGTAATGCGGGTAAATAAATCTCAACATTTGAGAAAACACGCGCATTTTTCTCATTGCTATCAGCTGAGGGTCCATAAAAGTTTGTCTTGGGAACTTTGACGTTTGTTAGATAATGTGTAATAAAAAGAAAGATAACATGCCCGATATTATTTTTTTTACTCCCTGTATTTATTCGTATACATATTGACTTTTTTTATACAAATCGTAATACCTTACGCAATTATGCGTATTAATATTACATTTTTAATGTTACGTAGTAAGTAACATTATTTTTATACAGTTATAACTTATTAATTTTAGACGGAAGTCTTATTTATTTAATTAATACGATTACATTAAACATTTCTATTCGAATCATATATGGCTACAACGTATTGATTACGTAATTACTTATCATCAGATAATCATGATGTGTGTACAATGCTGTTTATCAATCTGAATGTCAGGTTGATTTGATCATCGGAAAATCGGAATAAAATATAAATAATACTTACTATTCAGTACACGCATGTTATTTCTTAATGCACTTACAACATAGTATTAGGTTTGGTCAGGTCCGCTGCTACTCTCAAACTGCAAAGTGTGTTCTCTTATGACCTAGTCTCGCGTGCACTCTTACAATTAGCGTTATTAATCCTATGCATGACTTTTACTTGTTCAGTATACCCTGATTTGTTTTACATTGTACTTATCGCGTCATAATAGCGATTTTCAATGCCTCGTGGTCGACGATATTGTACACTTTGTTTCACACATATAATAGTTATATTCTAAAATCTATTCTCTAAATTTTTTGGAGTGGAATCTCACTCTGGAAGACCACGTGGAGTCTTCACTCTGACCAGAGATGAGATTGCGAGATGAATGCTCACCTGGGCAGCTTCACGCGTCAGTTTAATGGCAGTTTCGTAGTACACGTTCTCGGCGTATCGTGCCATTTCCGTACAACTTGGTGAACGCGCGGAACGAACGTGCGTCTGTTTCGACCTCGTCAGGAAATGCGCGAACGAGTACTGTGTTGCTTGTTTCTGCACCTCGTGCTTTTTCACTCGGATCGATTGCGCCTGTCGCAGTTACAATCCAAGAATGACGATCGGCGCATTCTGCCGGCTTATTCTGTCTGTGGGTTTTCCTCTCGAGGAGTTTTCGCTCGACGCCCTTCGCGGGGATTATAAATCTCTAATTACAACTCGTCAACAAGAGAGCATGATAATATGAAGTAAAATAAACTCGACTATCTATGCCTATTTGTTTGCACATGATAGGTATTACAATGTTCTAAATCCGTTACAATTTCAACATTTCATGCTGCTTTTCGCAGTGACGAGCTAATAAAACGAGATGTAATTGCCGTATAATGAGATACGATATCTGCCCGATACTATACCGTCTTGTCTACTTTATGAGATAACAATAATGCCATTCTAAAATAGACCTTGGTTTTATATCCTGCTCTGAGATGTACTTAATTGCACGCACCTGTCACTCACCATGATAATGTGAATGTCTTCCGACGACGCGATTGTTTTACAAAGAGGACAGAATAATCAACGCTATCTCGTTGGTTTATTTCCCACGCGATGTTTAGCTACTCTCTAAACGATTTAAAAAATTACAAGTTTTTAATAACACATAAACTTTCGCAGCCCAGG